GAGGAGAAGGAGGAGGATCAGCAGGAGCCGAGAGAAGGAGGGTTCAGAGTGAACCCAGGATGCATCGACGACGCTGCAGCATACCTTCGTCCTGCTGTATTCATGAGTCCCTGTACACTGCTTGTTCACAGCGGGGAGCGCCCCCATAAAACGTACGCCCTACGGACCTGTCACTCGGGCCAGGAACCCGCTCTGGAGAGGATCAATCATCCATGCTTGCAGCTACACACATGCCAGTGGTCAGGAGCGTCGGTATTCTGAGTGACTCACGCAGATCCCCACTCTGAGAACAGGCCGGCCTGCGTCCGCGCGCCGTCTGCGCTCTGAAGAGGAGTCGCCCCATCCATCCGTGTGAGTGCTGTACTGCCACGACGTTTCGGTCATGAGGCCTATGCTCAAAACTAACTGGTGTCCAACTGCGTGGCTGTTGCACGTTTCCTGGCTTCGGGCAGCAAGGCCTGACGCAAGCCTGGCAAGCCCAGGCCGCCGGGCCGCCCCGCTGGCAGGCGGCGGCGACGGCAACGACGACGAGGAGAGCTCTGGGGAGGAGGCGGAGGAGAAGGAGGAGGAGGGGGAGGGGAGTGGGAGGGGAAGGGGGGAGGTGGAGCGGGAGGAGGGTTGAGAGGAGGAGGAGGAGGAGGAGAATGCGGAGGCAGAGGCGGAGGCGGAGGAGGAGGAGGAGGAGGAAGAGGAGGACGAGGAGAAATATGAGGAGGAGGAGGAGGCGGAGGAGGAGGAGGAGGAGGAGGAGGAGGAGGAGTGAGGAGTGAGGAATGAGGAGTGAGGGGTGAGGAGTGAGGAGTGAGTGAGGAGGGAGGAGCAGGAGTAGGTGGAGGAAGGGAAGTGGAGGTGGAGGAGGAGGAGGAGGAGGAGGAGGAGGAGAAGCGCGGAGGATGAGGATGAGGAGGACAAGTGAGGAGGAGTGAGGAGGAGGAGGAGGAGGTGGAGATGGAGGAGGAGAAGTGCGGAGGAGGACGATGAGGAAGAGGAGGATCAGGCGGAGGTGGATGCAGGAGGAGAAGGCGGAGTGAGGAGCAGTAGCAGGGTTCCCCTCGCGGTCGGCTCACAGCGGCGCCCAGGGCCTCAGGCAAGCCGTGCACCAGGACGCGATCGACGCGACCACGCTGGCGCGATCTTCTCGCCTCGTTCTCGGCACCGCCCCCCAGGACCTGGGGATCGGAGGAGGAAGATGTCTGATGCTGCCACAGGCGGTTTGTTGAAATGAGCTCCAGTTCGATATCTCGCAGAAGATAAGCGGCATAAGCATACACTTTTCTCGATCCGCGCGGATTTCTTGGATCCGCGTTGGGCCCCCCCGCGGTTTTCTTGGATCCGCGCTGGGCCCCCCCCCCAGCGGAGCCTCTGGCGCCGCCCAAGCGGAGGGGGGTCCAGAGCGGATCAGAGAAATCCACGCGGAGCGCCAAAAGCTTATGTGCATGATGTTTCCGTTTTTTAATATCGGAATGGGCTCGGTTGTTTGTTGGGTTTCATGCGTTCCACTGCTGTTTTTGCTTGCGAGCCCTTTTTGGTGCGTATTCTTTGCAGTTTTGACACGCGCAGAGGGGGCGGGGATTCAATTACGAGGACCACTCATGACGGACCGCCGCTAGAAAGGGGTTCGGCCGTTCCTTCGGATGGTTTGGTTCGACTTGGAAAAAGTACGGTTTTGCTCCTCATTCAAAATTCCTTATTTCAACCTTCTCGCGTTTTCGCCGTTTCGGGCCTCCTGGGATGCCCTCGTCATCACGGATCGATTCGCCTCCGTGGGGCAGGGCATCGCCATCTTGCGTTCTTGAACGTCTTTCGGGCTCTTCAGGTTCGTTTTTTCTTCCTTGTCGCGTGTGACATGGATTCGGCGTGGTTAGGTGCGCGACGGGGTAGACAAAGTCCGCTTCTTGTAGGAACATTCTGGGCCTCCCAGAAGGGATCAGAGCATGCGGTCGGAGGATCGCGCAGCAGAGTGGAGCCAGATTTTGTCCACGCCGGCGTCGCCGGTGCATCGGCGATGCGGCGCGACCCTCCGACCCCAGTCGGGAGGCCTCGAAACATGACCAACTTCTGGGCCCTGAGGTCGATGGCCGATCACCTTCTACACAAAACCGAACAAGACCGTCGAGAACCGTTTTCCTATTTTATGGGCATGTTATCTGTAGACATGTACTACCATGTACACACTCTATGTATCTATATACATGTATGCGTGTATAAACATTATAGAAGCGTACAAACATGCATACATGCACAAACATGTATACAATATGTAAGCATGCATCTCATGTGTATAAGCATGTATATTCATGTATACATAACCTTGTTTTAACGATATGTATATGTGTACATGATGTATAAACAAATCTGGGCCCTGGGGTCGGGCACGGCCCTCGGGGCCGTCGCCGGCCCGCCGCCCGGAGGAGGCCGAGGAGCCGGGCGGCTTCCGCGCGCTCGCCGACGCGGCCGAGCAGGCCCTCGCGGAGGACGACCTGAAGCCGCGGCACCTCAGGAGGGCGCGGGCCCCAAGATTACATTTGTTTTTCCCCAACGCTTCTGTGTTGGGTTTTCGTTTTGAACAGAGCCAGCTCTGAGGTCTCCACCTCCCTCACCTCCTCCCAGTCCTCCTCCCCCTCCTTCTCCCTCCTCCTCCTCCCCCCCCTCCTCTCCCTCCTCCTCCTCCTCCTCCTCCTCCTCCTCCTCCTCCCTCCTCCTCTCCTCCTCCTCCTCCTCCTCCTCCTCCTCCCTCCTCCTCCTCCTCCTCCTCCTCCTCCTCCTCCTCCTCCTCCTCCTCCTCCTCCTCCTTCTCATCCATTCTCCTCCTGCTCCCCCTCCTCCTCCGCCTCCTCCCCCTCCTCATTCCTCCCTGCATTCTCCTCCTCCTCCTCCTCGTTTTTTTCCTCCTCCCTGCCTCGTGACCTCGCCGTCCCCTGGGGAGCCCCAAGACTATAACTGTTTTGGTCTGAGGTTTCGAGAAGACTTCAACGAAGTCACACGAGGATGTTACTAGCTCTGGGTTCGGGTCCTCCCAGAACTACTGGGGAGCAGCATCTTGGCCGCTGTGCCAGACTGCTGGGCCTGGGGCGCGGTCAGCGCCACCCTTATCCCAAGTGCCTGCTGCAGGGCATGAGGAGGGTCTGAAAGCCAAATCCAGAGGAACCATAGAGAACACATGCGACATTGTCACCATCCTGGTTCGCCACTTCTTGGCCATTTTGGGGCCGCTGTTGGGTCCCAGGGGCCTTCAAGAATCAAGCTGGTGTGAGACACCAGCCAGGATTGGCCTCGGTTCCTATGGCTGGTGGTTCCGGAAGGAGCAGGAAAGGTCATTTTTGAAGATAGTTGCATACGTGCCGAACACGTTGAACAAGGAACGGGAGCTTCTTCGAGAACGACCCGGCCGGCACTGGAGACATTTGGAGAGTTCACACAGGGAACAACAATCACACATCACAACCGTTCCGAGCATCGACGTGTATTTCCCGTGTGTAGAGGCACAAATGTATACATGTTCGTATATAGTTGAGATCAGATTGTGATGAGGGCTCTGGTAACGGGAATAACCGCATAACATATTACGAACACCACTCGTGACATTTCAGCACAGCGTGCAATAAAGCAAGCGCCCTGGGCTTTTTGAGAGACACAGAAGTTTGGGATAGGTCCGGAAAGTAGCGGCATTGGCATTTGTTAGTTGTCCCAGGAAGTGAGGGCGGAGGGAGTATGCAGAAGGACAAAGGGAAGGTGGAAGGTGGCGCGGGTAAGTGAGGGAGGCGGGGAGGATTGTTTGGGAGGAGTGAGTGCATGACGCTTCGCGCATTTGCGCCAGCCAGTCCTGAAGCGACGCCTGGGCGCAGCTGCCCCGATCAGGGCAGCTCACGAGCGAGCAGTAGAACGCAGAGGAGGGGGGGGGCAGCCGTCGAGCCGAGGCTTGGGACTCGAGTCGGAGATCGACTGCAGAATTCTACATGCTCCGCGGAACCCCACCAGCCCATCCAGAGACGATGCCCAGAGGATCTGTCTCGATCAGGGAAGTTGGCAGCACGCAGATGCATGGTCCCTCGCGCTCTTGGGGCTCTATGGGGCGCTCTTGGGGCTGTCTTGGGGCTCTCTTGGGCCTCTCTTGCGTCTTGGGGGCCTCGTGGCGGTCCCAAAAGCCTCTTGGAGCGTCTCGGGGAGCCTCTTGCGGTCTCTTGGGGGTCTCTTGGCAGCCCCTCGGAGGCCTCTTGGGCGCATCTTGGGGTCTCGTGGGCGCCTCGGTGGGGCCCTCTTCAGGCGCTCTTGGGAGCCTTGGGAGTACTATTGGGGCCATCTTGGAGGACATCGATCAAACAAGAGGGGAACATGTATTAGCGGTGCCCCTCGGGAGCCCCACAAGTCGCTTCTTGGGGCGCTCTTGGAGCGCTCTTGGGCGCTCTTGGGGCCGTCTCGGCGCTCTCTTGAGCCTCTCTTGGACCCTCTTGGCCCATCTTGGAGCCATCTTGAGGCCTCGGATGGCCATCGGAAGCGAACATGCGAGAAAGCAAAACACATCGATAGTCCCAAGGTTTTGGAAGGATTTTGTCCTCTTCGGGGCCTCCTGGGGGAGCTCTTTGGCCACTTGGAGCCATCTTGAAGCGGTCTTGGGGCCTCTTGGAGCATCTTGGGAGCCATCTTGAGGCATCTTGGGATATCTTGAGCCATCTTGGAGGTCACCTTTGGCTCTCCCAGGCGCTATTGGAGCCAACTTAATCAGTGTCCCCCCCCCTCCCCCGGAGGCCAACATGTGGCAACAACTTTAGTACAACCAGTGATTTTGGCATTTTCGCCGAGGCCTCTTGGGGCGTCTTGGGTGCCTCTGGGGGGCCTCTGGGGGGCCTCTGGGGGCCTCTTGGGGGTCTCTTGGGAGCCTCTTGTGGGGCCTCCTGGGCACCTCTTGGGGCTCTCTTGGAGCGCCCTTGGGAGCCTTGGGGACCATGCTTGGGCCATCTTGGAGGACATCGATCAAACAAGAGGGGAGCTTCAATTAGCGGTGCCCTCCCAAGAGGCCAACATGGGGCTAAAACCTTGTAGTAAAACCAATGATTTTATTTTCCTTGCCGAGGCCGTTTTGGACGCTCTGACACCTCGCGACCGGCCCTGTCCAGGTCCAGGGGAGGTGGGGGTGAGGGATAAACCCTTCCCCGAAGGGGGAGAAGGGCAGATGGAAGACAAATCACCCTAGACCACCTACGCCCTAAAGGGTTGGCGGGTTTCATGCAACCGAGAATTGATTTGTCGTAGAATCTACAGCCGAAGATATTGAATATTCTTAGATCTGCGTACGTACCACGCCATGTTCGCAGATTCGTAACGTGTTTCAATTTTTGGGTCAATCAATCTTGTAGTCGATCTCTTACTCGCCTGATCATCTCTTGGCGGATTTGTTTGTCAACGCGGAGCCCTGGAGGTCTGGACCCTTTTCCTGGGACGGCTCCTCTGTTGTTCCTTGGGTGGTGGCTTTCCGGCCCCAGGACTAGGGAGTAGCCCCTGGAGGCCGAGAATGTCCCCAAACACGTCCGTCTCGATTGCTGTTCGCAAGAGACAGTCAGAGGGAGGCGGGTTCAGGAGGAGTGAGTTAATCAGGAGGGGAAAAAACATAGACACAATGAATCGTCGATTCCTCAGAAAATATAGGAAAATATGGGAAGTGGGGGGGAAGACAAAAAACAAAATATGGGAAAATATGGGGAATAGTTTTATTTGTGTGTATTTATTTGTGTGTCCCAGGGCCCCTTCAGTTAAGCCCCCCCTTTCCTGGTGACGTCCCACCGCGTCTGGCACCCGAGAGGCGGTGGCGGAGGCGCCGGCGCGCACGAGCGTCTGCCAGCACCCGCCTATCCCATTGCAATCGTCTGGGAGGCGCTAACGCCGGTAAGCGATGCCGCTTGCAGGCCTATATTAGTCAGGGACAGCGCTAAGAGGGGGGATCGGCTCGGGGGGAATGCATAGGCCTCCAGTCGCCCATCCGACCGATGCAGGCCCGAGATAGCCCAAGCACCAGGAACGTGCCATTTCGCTGTCGAAGCCTCATCGCCGATCTATCCACAATGGTTTGCGGATTCCAGCGCGGTAGCCGTCTTCGCGCGCCCGCCCGCCTACCAGCGTTGCTGGCACCCACGAGACCCCGTCGAGTTTTTACCTTTCTTTATCTTCTAGGGACGAGCCCTTCCTCGATATGCATCAACGCGCGTTGTTTACAAGCGTGGTTCCTTTGACTTTCACCGAGGCTCATTTTTTGCTGCCCCGATCCCCATCAAATCAACAGTTTGCGCAGGCTTCTTCGCAAGTGTCTCAGCCCCCGTTGTTTTCGCCAGGGGGATGCTCATCAGGCTTCTTGTCGGAGGCCAGCGACACATACTGTGGAGGCCCATGCCAAGAAACGTCCTGCTTGCCTCCAGTGTGCCCTGGGTTTCTTGGGTTTCGATGGTTTTGCTGTCGAAGGCGTGACTTTCCCACGCCAGAAATCAATGGACATCCTGGGGTCTCAGGGTTGGGTTTCTTGCGGAAGGTTTCTTGTGGTCGAGCCCGTATGCCGCCGCCGCCGTCGTCATCGTCGTCGTCATCGTCGTCGACCACCGTCGTCGACCATCGTCGTCATCGTCGCCGTCGCCGCCGCTGTCGTCGTCGTCGACCATCGTCGTCGACCATCGTTTGCGTACGCGGTCAGCTTCGGTTGGGCATTGTCTGCATGCAGGCTCTCGTGCACGCGGGGCCGCGGGGGGAGTACGTGTACGTGTGCCCTTGCTCGCTCGTCTCGTCTCCCGTCGACCCGAGTAAAGCACTCTCAATGGGCCAATCCTCCACCACCGCTATCACAGGTAGGACGGGGGAGAAGGGAATTTCGGATGGATGGGGAGGTCCTCCCCCTCCTTCTCCTCCTCCTCCTCCTCCTCCTCTTCCTCCTTCTCCTCTTCCTCCTCCTCCTCCTCCTCCTCCTCCTCCTCCTCCTCCTCCCCCTCCTTTTTTTTTTGTTCGTAGCCATTTTGGCTCAAGATGGTTGCACTCAGGGGGCTCCGCGCCTCCGTGCCAAAGTGGAAGCTGCTAGTCCGCAGCCAGTTCTCAATTGCTTTCAGGAGCCTGATCACCACAGGTTTCCTACTACATATTCTTGCTTCATGGGGAAAGGAGGGCGTCAGCAGTATAAGTCTTGGCAGAGCAGAGCGCCGTGGTATCAATCTTCGACCACGGCAGGCGCAAGTATGTCTCTCAGCGACCAGTGGCCCAGTCTTGGGAATGGTAGCTCGAACGCATACGGCAATTACACGATGCAGCCTTGGCGACCAGCGACCCCTCGAGCGGATCTTCGACAGAACATCTCGCAGCGCATTGCTCTTCCCAAGCTTGGACGAGATGCGACCTGGTGCAAAGTCTGTGGGAAGTTCTGCTACAATGACCTGCTGGAGAAATTCGACTACACCTGCCAGTACTGCGGCTGTTTCCTCAAAGGACGTAAGCCCACAGGAACAGGAGGTGGGGCACCGCAACCAGCAG